CCGCCGCCTGGGGTCCGAGAGGTGGGCGTGTGCCCACGACCGCCCCAGTGGCCCAGCCCGGAGCCTGCGGACTCGGCCACCGCCCCGCGACCGCCCCAGCTCACCACCCTGCCAGCTCGCCTGCCCGGCGCCCCGCGTTCTGGAGCTGGCTTTGGAAACCGGGCCTTGAAGGGGAAGGGGCTCGCCCAGCGCCGGCCGCGTGACTTCACCGCCGCCTGTCCGCAACAGTTCTCACCAAGACCCCCGCGGGCAAGCCTGCGCCTAGGCCCCTGGCGCCCACTCAGACCGCGGGGGCCACTCATGTTACACAGCGTGTTTCCAAGGTAGAGACCACTGAGGCCATGAAGTCTACTCAGCAGGGTTCACTCAGGCCGCGTAGCACATGCTGAAGGCAAAGTCCACTCAGGCCAAGGAATCCACTTAGATTCCAGGGATCACTCAGACCTCAGGGTACTCTACATCAGAGTCCACTCTGGCCAGGGAGACTCAGGCTTCTAGATCCACTCAGACCATGGAGCACATTCTGAAGGCAAGGTCCACTCAGACCGCAGGTTCCGCTCCTTTATGGGGTCCACACAGGCTACAGGCTCTTCTCAGACCACCAGGTCCACGTCAGTCTTAACAGAGGCCCCCTGGGACCTCAGCAGTGCATGGTGGGGAGGGGACATCAGGTAAGGCTGGCTCTGCTGTGGTCTCCATCCTGAATCGGCCAGTGAAGACCACACCCCTGAGATGAGCTCCAAGGGGGCCACCACACCTGTGTGTGAGCTAGGCTGGGGGCCTCACCACCCGAACCTCGGTTTCCCCATCTCTAAAATGCCTGCTTTCTGTAGTGCAGTATAGTGCAAGCACTGGAGGAATGGGAATTCTCCGGGCAGGGGGCATCTGGCCTGTCCATCAGCATTCTGTGTGTGTGTGTGTGTGTGTGTGTGTGTGTGTGTGTACTCATGCCCCAGGCTAAGCTCTGATCTCAAACTCAGGAGTTCCAGCGTCCCAGGCATCTGAAGGTCCAGTAAGTCCCAGACACAGGAACCTCTCAGCTGTGTGGGACACCACCTTCACCCCTGATGAGATGAACGACATCTCATTTTGCTGTGGCTGAGAGCAAAGTCCGAGGGCGTCCTGCTTGTGGGGGCCCTCAGAGCAGGATGAAAAGTAAGTGCAGGTGTGTGTGTCAGGGTCTTCCCAGAAGCAAGTTCTAGTGGCTTGCCTTGACCAGGCTGTATGTGAGGACATGGGCAGGGATCTGGGTTTACCAGGGGTTCACAGGGGTGCAGGTTTGACCCCAAGCAGAGGTGAAGGGAAGGGAAGGTTGGGCCCACAAGGCTCACAGTGCTGTGTGGACAGAGCCAGATCTGGGCAGGCCACCAAGGAGCGTTCTGTACCACATAGTGAAATGACCGCTGGAGCACTCCCACTCCCTCTGTTAACCAGGAGCAGCTGTGGGAAGCCTGGCCCAAGGCCAGAAGCACCATGGGCCAAAGCATGGCTCACTTGTGGGGGACCTACAAGGACTTAGGTGGCTTTGGCTTTTTCTTTTTATTCTGTTAGAGCTCCCAATAAAATGATTTAATAAAAAAAGAGAAAGAGCTTTATATCAAAGAGTAATTATAGATTAAGAAAACATCCTAGCCATCAAGTCCATAAGTCTGATATTAGCCCCTGAGTCCAATACGAGTCCATAAATTCCTCTGCACGCTCGCACAGCACATGCAGTGATGGAAGTCTGGAGACATATGTGCATGGGCACCACTGCTGGTTCCTGGAGAAAAGGCAGACAGACCCTGTCCGGGTGCCATGGAACCCCTTCAGTACCTGGGAGGTTCAGACAGTAACCCCTGGGTGGGTTCTCCCTGCCCCCCAGCCTTCTCCTTTGATGCTTCCCAGGGACCAGCCCGGTGGTGCTGGGAGGCAGCCTCACCAGTGAGATTCAGACGGCAGTTGCAGAGTGGAGTGGCTCCTGATTAGTCTTTCTCTACAGGGACATGCTTGGCCAGCATGCTCTCTGATCCTCTGCCCACCTCCCCTTCCTCCTCCCTAGCCAGGATGTGTACATGGCCCTTCGAAGTCAAGTGGACGTCCGGTGACCATGAGCTGGCAAGCAGGGAGAAGAAAGACAGCCACCCAAGGACAGAGGCCGGCCAAACGGGAAGAATGCAGCCTCTGGGGATGATGCATGCCATTGGACTGCCACCAGCCACAGCCCCTCCTTCGCCTTCTCCAGAGTTCCTGTTATGTGGCAAGAGTAAGCACTCATGGTCTCAGCCCCTCTAGTTGGGTTCTCTTGTTGGCAGGCGAAGGCAATCCTCTTGTATCACTGCTGAGTGCTTTCCAAACAGAAGTCTCCGCCCAGCCAGGCTGAAGAGCTTCCTGAGACATGGCCTCCAGCAGGGCTAGGAAGTTGGAGTCTGAGCTGGGCAAAGTGGATCCTTAGAGGAAGGAGGGGGTGGGCAGCCAGGGGTGAAATAGGGAGGGTTGCCTTCCACCCATCTGGGAAGTCCCCCAGCTAGGCTCAGGGGAGCCTGGGGTGGGCACAGGGTGGCTGGAGCTGGGCAGGGAGCCGAGTCAGCTCCTGGCTCCCTTCTTACGCTCATGTGGTCATGGGACGTGCCCCTCCTCTCTGAGTCACTGCAGGTCTCTCACAGACAGCACTGGGTTGCCCTCAATGTTGCCTCCCACCCCCAGTAAGGAGGTGCACTCTGGGGTAGGACACAGCTTGGATAAGGTGACCAGACATCCTGCTTTTGGCGGGACAGTCCCGATTTTTGGCGTTTTAAAAAAGTCCCGATTTTTGGAAAGAATGCACGACAAGCTAGGGAACGGACTATTTGGTCCATATAGACCAAATTTTTAATCAAGAACCCCCACCCCACCCCCTGCCCCCAGTCAACGATGTCCCACTTTAAATCTGGTGACCTTAAACTTGGAGGACAGCCTCTGCATGTCCTGCTCAAACCCTCTGGCCAGTCTGGCTGCTGGCTGCTCACAGGGCAAGTGTGTGGCAGGAGTTCAGAGGCAGCTGCAATTCTCCCAGAGAAAATGATAAGGCTCTGAACCCCCACCTTGACCCAGGGGAGAGAGAGAGAGAGAGAAAGAGAGAGAGAGAGAGAGAGAGAGAGACCCAATGCAGGACCAGTGAATTAATGAGCGAGGCTATTCCAGCTATGAGAAGCCTATCTTGATGACCTTCCCCTTCATGGGTCTGGTAAGAAAGTGGAAGAAGATACGGATTGACCTGTGATTAATTGTGTACAAGCACCCTGCTGTGTATAAAATGAACCAAGAGTTGAGCGTGTCCTCCGGACCTGAGATCCCTGTGCACTGGACCTCCTGGATCCAGATGACAGCTGTGCCATCTGAGGAGCAGCACCAGAACCAGGAGCCAGAGCCTGGAGCAGAGTGATGCACCTCCCCCCTCACAGTGCGATAAAGCTAAGCACTTTTGTGCAGGAGGCTGGGTTGCAAAGTGGGGTACCTCTGAGCACTGCCTTGGGGAAGTTGGACTGGCTGGCCTATGGAAGTGAGGCACAGTGCTTTTGGGCTGAAGTTTACTGGAGTGGGGTGCCACCAGCCATTTTCTTCAAGGAGCTGGGGTTGCTGACCCACAGACCTTGAGTTGCATACCTTTGGATTGAAACTCCCAATGCAGACCTAAAACTCTGTAGCATGTCCTGGAAAACTGCATTTCTCGCTGGCACGACAGCTTGTCAACTTCCTTTTTCACCATGAGAGTTGTGTGCGAGTTTCTGTGCAGACAACGCAATGGTAATTAGAACAGAGAGATCAAGTAGAGACTCTTATTAGATATCAGAAAGGTAAAATAGTGACTATTAATTAAGACAGCAGAATGACTCAGCAGAGCCAGTAGGTGTCGAAGAAGGATTTGTTGTAGGGACGAGAGGGAGAGCAGTCAGAGACAGTGCCCTGTTGTGGCAGGGGAGCCTAGTGCATGACGGGAAGCCCCAGGTGGGCCAGGGAGCATTGGAGGAAGGGCCGTGGGCCATGGGCTGGGCACAGGATCTGGGCTTGTCCGGAGGCCAGTACCAGGTAGCAGGGCTTCAGCTGGAGGCCCAGCCGTGGAGCCTGCCTCACGGTGGTGGCACTGCTGAGGCTGCGTCCATGGAGTTGTCCTGTGGGAGAGAACCAGCCAGGCAAGCGCCAAGGCCAGTCAGTGGTGGTGGAGACCACGCTGCCATGGCCTTCAGAGAGCACAGAGGTGGGGGCCCAGAGCCCAGATGCTGCCTTCCTCGCACCTAAGAAGGGAGGGACAGAGGGGACAAGATGAGGGATTGGCGTTAGGACCCAGGGCAATGGCTTTTGAGAAGAGTCAGGCCAAAGGTGGAGCATCAGTCCAATAGAAGAAATTGAGGTGGACCCACCTCGCTCCTAAAGCATGCATAACTGTGTGTGTAGGGATTGGCTCGGGCTGATACCTGCAGAGAAGGACGGATAGTTAACAGGGCAGGCTCCCCTGTTGGGGATATGGGAGACAAGTTCAGATGTGTCCTGTGTGAGGACGTCAGACAGTCAGGTGGGGGCACCATGAGGAGGGTGCTTCCTGCTCAGAAGAGCAGAGTGAGCTGAGGGCTCACTCTGGTTATGTTCACAGAGGCTCCCATTTGAACACTATCTTGGCAGCGGGTTCTAAAGGCTGGACGAAGAGCAGCATCTCTTAGATGAGAGGTGATAGTCCATTTTCTCCCGGAAGAAGGGAAATGCTTGAACTCATCATTGAGAAAAATTGGTTCTTTGTTTTGGAAATGTCACCAGTAATGACGGAACTAAGGCCCAGGCACATGATGGGGGCACAGCTGAGCGAGCTGGCCAGGCTTCATGGGGACTGTCCAGAGTGAGGGCAGAGCCTGGGGCTTCCCCAGAAACCTTCTTGGATGAAGACCTCCAGAGCTCGTGTGGGCAGTTGGCAGTGTTCTGCATGAATGAGCTGTGTCCCTTGAGGTTTCTTGTCTGGTTTCTGTTTTGAGAGGGTTGATCCTCGGAGAATGGTTTCCTCTATTCCGTGTGAATCTAGAACACAGGGTGCCTAGATTGTTCCTGTGGGACTGGTTATTTTGGGTTTGTTTGGTTTACAGTTATTTATAAGACAAGAAGGGATATTTTCCTCTACTTGTTTGTTTGTTTTATTTTTGGTCTTCACTTCCAGGGTTGATTTTAAAGCCACTGGGAGCTTTTACTCTACATTTTGTCATTGTTAGCTGGGTCAAGTCCGTTTTGATTCATAGCAGGCCCATGTACAACAGACTGAAACAACACCGGTCCAGCACCAGGCTCACACTTGTTATGTTTGGGCCCGTGGTTGCAGCCACTCTGTCGATCCATGCAGTTGAAGGTCTCTGTCTTGTTCAATGCTCCTCTGCTTTACCAAGTGCGATGTCCTTTTCCAAAGACTGGCTTCTCCTGATGCCATGTCCAAATCTCATGAGACGAGGTCTCACCATCCTTGCTTCTAAGGCGCATTTGATCGTAGTCTTCCAAGACAGGTTTGTTTGTTCTTCTGGCCGTCCACGGTACTTTCCGTCTTCTTCGCTGGTCCTGTACAAGAGCCGTATCATTGCGTCTCTAAGGTTCCTTATTCACTTGCATCGAGGTGACTGAACACACCTTGGCTCGGGACAGGCACACCTTTCGCCCCAAAGTGATGTGTTTGCTTGTTAACTCTTTAGTGAGATCTACTGCAACAGGTTTGCCTAATGCAAGACATCATTCAATTTTTTAAGTGCTGCTTCCATGGAGGTTGATCGGAGATCCAAGTAAATAAAACCCTCGACAAGTGTTAGTTTTCATTGAGTCGGTTCCAACCCATTGCAACCCCACACAAAACAGAACACTGCGCAGTCCCAGGCCTCCCTCACAGTTGCCATGCCCGAGCCTGTGGATGAAGCCACTGTGTCATTTCACTTTGTTGAGGGCCTTCCTCTTTTCTCAGCCCCTCCACTTCACCAAGCATCATGTCCTTCTCCAGGGACTGGTCTCTCCTGACAACCCGTCCAAAGGATGTAAGATGAAGTCTTGCCATCCTTGCCTCGAAGGAGCATTCTGGCCTTACTTCTTCCACGACAGATAGGTTTGTCTTTTTACTGTTTATGGTTCTCTCAATATTCTTTTCCAGCACCACAATTCAAATACATTGTTCTTACTCCGTCTTCCTTATTGAATGCCTAACATTCACAGGCACATGATGCAATGGAGAATACCTCGGCTTGGGTCAGGCACACCTTAGTCCTCCAAGTAGCATCTTTGTTCTTCCACACTCTAAGGAGGTCTTGCGCAGCACATTTACCTAAGGAAATACATCTTTTGATCTCTTGACTGCTGCTTCCAGGAGCATTGATTGTGGATCCAAGCAAGACAAAATCCTTGACAACTTCAACCTTTTCTCTATTTATCATGATGTTAAATACTGGTCCAGTTGTGAAGATTTTGGTCTTTTTTACACTGAGTTGTAATCCATACTGAAGGTTGCAAACCTTGGTCTTCCTTAGTAAGTGCTCCACGTCCTCCTCACTTTCAGAAAACAAAACCTGTGCCATCTGCATATTGCAGATTGTTAATAACACCTCCTCCAATCCTGATGTCACACTCTTCTTCATATCATCCAGCTTCTCTGATGATTTGCTCAGCAGATAGATTGAGCAAGTGTACCAAGAGGATACAATCCTGTTGTACACTTTTCCTGATTTTAAACCAGGCAGTATTCCCTTGCACTTGGTCCATGTGCAAGTTCCCCGTGAGCACAAGTAATTGTTCTGGAATTCCCATTCTTCTCAAGGTTATCCACAGTTTATTATGGTCCACACAGTCAAATGCCTTTGCATAGTCAATAAAACACAAGTAAACATGTTTTTGGTGTTCTCTGCTTTCAGCCAAGATCCATCTGGCATCAGGAATGACATCCTGTGTTCCACATCCTCTTCTGAATTCAGCAGGAACCTCTGGCAGCTGCCTGTCACTGTACTGTTGCAATCCCTTGTTGGATGATCTTAAGCAAAATTTTACTCGCTTGTGATATCAATGATAGAGTTATAGAGTTTGAGCATTCTGCTGTGTGAGCTTTATTTGGAATGGGCACAAATATGGATCTCTTCTAGTCAATTGGCCAAGTAGCTGTCTTCCAAATTTCTTAGCACAGACTAGTAAGTGCTTCGAATGCTTCATCAGCTTGTTGAAATATTTTCGTTGCTATGCCATCGGTTCCTGGAGCTTTGTTTTCGGTTACTGCATTCAGTGCGGTGTGAATGTCTTGATTCAGCACCATTGGTTCTTGCTCATATGTTACCTCCTGAAATGGTGCACTGTTGACTTTTTTGGTACAGGAACCCTGTATTCTTTCCATCTTCTAGTGATGCTTCCTGCGTCATCCAGTATTTTGCCCATAGAATCTTTCAATATTGCAACTCGAGGTTTGAATTTTTCTTGAGTTCCCTCAGTTTCAGATATCTTCAGTGCCTTCTTCCTTTTTAATTTTCTAACTCTAGGTCTTCACACATTTCGTTATAATATTTGGCTTTGTCTTCTCGAGCTGCCCTTTGAAATGTTCTATTCAGCTCTTCGACTTCATCATTTCCTCCATGTGCCTTAGCCATTCTACGATTAAGAGCAAGTTCCCGAGTCTTCTGACATCCACTTTGATCCTGTATTTCTTTCCTGTCTTTTTTATGACTGATTGCTTTCTTCATGAATGATGAAAATAGCAAAAAGGCATAATTGATGTCCTTCTACAGTTCATCATGTCTTCTGTCATGGGTGTTCAAGGCAGCAAACCTGCTTTTGAGATGTTCTGAACATTCAGGTGGGATAGAGTCAAGGTTGTGTTTCGGTTCTTGTGGTCTTATTTTATTTTTCTTTAGCTTCAACCTGAACTTACATATGAATGACTGATGGGCTGTTCCACAGTCAGACCCTGGCCTGGTTTTAGCTGCAGATCTTGAGCTGCTCCCTCGTGTCTTTCCACAGATGTTGTCAACTTGATTTCCGTGTACGCCATCTGAGGACGTCCATGTGTATGCCAGCAGGGTCACTGCCTTTTGTATTGTTTAAAAAAGGTATTCTCAATGAGCAAGTCATGGGTCTTGCAAAATTCTATCATGACATCTCCTGCTTCGTTTCTATCACCAAGTCCATGTTTTCCAACTACTGTCCCTTCCTCTTTGTTTCCAACTTTTGCGTTCCAATCGCCAAGAATCATCAGTGCATCTTGATTGCATGTTTGATCAATTTCAGGCTGACGATGTTGGTAGAATTCTTGAATTTCTTCAACTAGCTTTTGTAGTTGGCCCATAAATTTGAATAATAATTGTACTGACCAAATTTCTTCGAAGACAGTTAAAAATAATCCTATCACAGGCAGCATTATACTTCAAGATTGATTTGAAATTTCTGTTTTAACAATGAATGCAAACACCATTCCTCTTGATTGTGTCATAGTAAATCATATAACTTTCTGATCCAAAGGCGCCAATACCAGTCCATTTTCTGATTCAAAATGGCCAATACCAGTCCAATACCCGGGCACCACTAGTGCCCGGCTATCGATCTTCATGCATTCAATTTCATCTTTGACCACTTCCAGTTTTTCTACATTCATACTTCCCACATTCCAAGATCATTAGCAAACTTTTGCAGCTGTTTCTTCTTCCCTCAAGTCATCCCTTATCAGCAAACGAAGATCCCAAAGTTCCACTCCCATCTCAGGCCACCATGGTCTGCTCCACTCTGAGAGAGCAGCTCCCCCTCAGTCACATTTCCAGTGCCCTCTGACCCGAGGGGCCCGTCCTCCGTCACTGTCTCAGACAATCTCCTGCTCCCATCCATCGGACCTTCAGTGTCTGGACTAGTTCAAAGCTATGCCTAAGGTTTTCAGTGGCTCCTTCCTCTGAAGTGGGCAGCTGATTCCTTCTCTGTTGTCTGTGCTTAGTCTGGAAGCTCTGCTGAAACCTGTCCACGTTGGGCGACCCTGCTGGCATTTGAAACACCAGTGACCTAGCTGCCAGCATCACAGGCACACACAAGCCACCACAGTACGACAAATGGACCGACCAGTAGTGGGTTCTCAATATATAAAAATAAAAATAGAAGGAGAGATGGTTCACAGTAACTTTTTCTCAGTTGGCTTTGACGATGTCAAATTATTTTCACACATTTCCAAGTAAGGAGTGTGAAGCGGATTCCTTTGGTTGACAGCAGTGTTTTAATGAGGTCACCTCTCATTTCCTGGTATCCTGCATAAACCTCACCACGTGCTGCTGAAGGGCTTGTCAAGATGTGTGTCTTATGTGTAGTAAAAGCACATTTAATGCCATACTTTCTAAAATGCAAATGTGGTTAATTATATTACCCACCCACCCCTGCTGTCATTTACAAAGAAGTCAGTATGAAAGACATTTTATTTTGTTGCAAAAATCGTAAAAACAGAAACCTTGTTTCAGACGGAGGAGGTTCACATTCCCCAAGGAGAGGATCCCCTGCGAGGAGGTGTCAGTGGTCAGGCCGGGGCCAAGCCTGCAGCACCTCTCCCTGACCATCCTCTCCTCCTGGGCCATGAAAGAAGTCACACCTTCCCTCTGGGTGTAAGGTGCTGGGTGATAGCAGGGGTTGTGTGTTGGGCTGCTAACTGCAAGGTCAGCCATTCGAAACCACCAGCTGCTCTCCAGGAGAAAGGTGGGGCTTTCTGCTCCCATAAAGAGTTATATTCCTCAAGGGCATGGCAGGGGAGGCTGGGGGGAATTGGGGAGCTAAGAACGATGGGTACGAGAAGGAAGAAAGTGTTCTACAACTGATTGTGGTGGTGATTGTACAGCTCTTCTTGACAGGACTGAACCATTGAATTTATGATTTGTGAATTATCTGCCAACAACAAAACTGTTGGGGTGGGGGGAAGAGGAAGAGAAAAAAAGGTTTTCCTTCTTTAATCATGCATTTTGAATTATTTTCTGTATTTGGTGTGAGGTAACGCTCCGACTGTTACATGTTAATATCCCTCTTTCCCATCACCCTTTGTTGAAAGGACAATGATGTCCCCAGAAAATTACCTTGCTAACCTTGTTCTAATGCAATAGACCATAAATGTAAAGGGTTTATTTCTGGATTCTTAGTTACTGAGATCTATCACTGCCTGAATACATTCACAGAATTGTGACTGTACATTCACACACACACACACACACACACACACACACACACCTTGCAGTCTCGGAATCTCACAGGGGCTGTTCTACCCTGTCCTATGGGGCTGCTATGAGTCGGCTTCGACTGAGGGTGCTAAGCTTGTTTTTTGGCTTTTATCTGGATGGGGATGCACCAATTAGCATCCAGCCATTTCAGGAGCTAGCATCAGATTATGGAGTAATGGAATCGAAGGAAGAAGTCCAAGGTACTCTGAAGGCATTGACTAAAAGCACGGTCTCAGAAATTGAAAAAGTACCTGTTGAAATGTTTCCACAGCCGGATGCAGTGCTGCAGATAGATGCTCTCTCGTCTGTGCCAAGAAATCTGGAAGATAGGAACCTGGCAAACTGCCCGGACAAAATCCATTCCAGAGAAAGATGATCCAACGGAAGGCTGACATGATTCAATAATGTCACTAGTACACTTCTGAAGAAGGTAATTTAAAAACGATTGCAACAGGAACTTGTGTTTGTCTGTGTTGACTATAGAAACAAATTTGTAGACACTCTTATGTGTATAAGAAAGAGCTTTATAGACAAGAGTAGTTGAATATTGAGAAAATTAGCCCAGCCCAGTCTAGATCAAGTCCATACGTCTGACACTAGCCCATATGTCCGATACTAAGCTATAAAGTTCTCTTCAGACTCAAGAAACACATGCAATAACGCTGAATGCAGGAAGATCACAGGCCAGTGGGTGGAAGGTCTTGTGGATCCAGTGGTGGTGCAAGCATCTCAGCACTGGCAGTGGTCTCCACGTGGCTCCTCCGGCTCCAAAGGTTTAGGGTAGCTCCATGTGTCTTGTCAATGAAAATATGTCGCATGGAGTGAGCATGCATCCTGCCTCCAGTGAGTTATTTATCTCATTAGCACCTCCAAATGAGGTCATCAAGCTGCAACCTGATTGACAGGTTAAACTCCACCCCTTCACTCTTAAGTCTCACATTGACAACTGATGATGTAACTACTGCAGACACCAATAGAAAACTGCCAGAAATTCAAGTCAGATTCAGAAGAGGACTTAGAACTAGGGTTTATCATTGCTGCTGTCAGATGGATCTTGGCTGAAAGCAGAGAATACCAGAAAGATGTTTACCTGTGTTTTATTAACTAAGCAAAGGCAATGACTGTGTGAATCCTAACAAATTAGAGATAACATTGGGAAGAATGGGAATTCCAGGACACTTCATTGTGCCCATGTGAATCCTGCTCATAATCCAAGAGACAGTCTTTCCAACAGAACCAGAGAATACTGCATGATTTAACACCAGGCAAGGTGTGTGTCAGGGTTATGTCCTTGCACCATACCTGTGCAGTCTGTATGCTAAGCAAATAATCAGGTGAGGGGGTCCCTAACACTCACACGGGTCCTCAGGAGGGACTTTGCAATTGTGGAAAAGGATAAAGACAGACAGACATACAGAGAGACAGCAGGGGTCCTCATCCCTATATCAGGACCAAGAGTGTAAATGTATTTTCCAATGGGTATAAACAAGCGGTACCTCCAAAGACCTGAATGTTTTTTCAAAGCTATGTATTTAATTAAAAAAAAAAAAAAACCTTACCACCTTCAACGTACTCTCCATTACAACTTAATACATTTGTCAAATCTGCGATTCCATTCTTGGAAACATTTTTCAAACTCCTCTGTTTGGATGGCTGACAGCACCTCCCTCATTTTTTTTCTTCACCTCCTCTGCTTCATCAAATCGCTGTCCTTTCATGTTCCTCTTCACTCGCAGAAACAAAAAGACGTCTCACGGAGTGAGGTCAGGTGAGTAAGGTAAATGGAGCAAGAGAGGCATGCTGGTTTGTTTGTTTTGCCAAAAACTGGTGCACTGAGATGGCTGCGTGAGCAGGTGCATTGTCATGGTGGCAAAACCAGTCCTCGGTCTGCCACAAAACAGGCCTTTCTGGTCAGACACTGTTTTGCAATCTTTTCAGAACTTCTACATAGAAAGCTTGATTAACAGTCTGATCTGGTAGAACAAACTTCAAATGCACTATCCCCCTCACATCACATCTGTTTTTTTGGGGATAACCCCATCATATAATGGGGCCTACAGATGTTTCATAAGGCATGCATGTCATACAGAAAACATATGACATAGTCGGTGGGTAATATCACACGCGGGTCACATAATAACCCAGCAATGAGATGAGTTATCATCTTGATCTAGTACTAGTTGACCTCGAAGGTCCCTGAGCCCTCCCCAGGGGAGCAATCTATGATCCCTATCAACAAGAGATGTCAAAACAGAGTTTGCTACAGATTTTGCTACATTTTATGGTGGGTCAGGGTATCAACCCGATTGCTCTTATCTACAGATACATTTCAGCCACAGGGAATAGCCAGACACAAGAATGATTCATCCTGTATAAGAGCACCTTCATAACCATTCCTTTATGGGGGGTTATTGGAGGGACTGTGTTCCGTCATGAGCATATGTACTAAGTTTCATTTATATCTCATCACCGTGAGGGTCTTCCCCCTCGGAGTCAGCTTTCCAGACCGTATTTAAGAGCATGGATGATGGAGCTGCTTGATATCTTGCTATTCTCATCCAGTTCCTCAGTTCACCACAGCCGAGAAGCTAGATCATACCAAGATGAATGTGGCATCCGGATTGGAAGCAGCCTCTCACAATGTATGCAAACGATACAGTCTTGCTTGTCAAAGTGAAGAGGACTTGAAGCTCTTACTGATGAGATCAAAGACCACAGGCTTCAGGTGGATGGCGCCTCATCGTAAAGAAACGGATCTCTGCCCCATGGAACCAATACCTAACGTCCTGTTACATCGAGAGGAGAGGGATGCTACCTAGGTGCTCATTGTACTTGGCTCCACAATCAACATCCACGGGATAGGTCATCACGAGAGCAAAGGGTTGATGGGGCAGGTCTGTGGCAAAAGATCCCTTTTGAGGGTTGGAAAGCAGCTGTGTCACTTGGAGGACTTAGGTGCACCTGGGTCAGGCCAGGCTTTCACCGACATCACACTGTAAGGTTTCTGGCGTGGGTAATGCCTCGCTTCTTAGCTTCACAGGAGAAAGAATTCAAGCCTAAGCCCGTTTGTGATCCAAGTGGCTTTTGATGAAGGACGGGAAAAGTTTGAGGTTTTATAGTCTCAAAAAGCGTACACGCTACTTCAGGGAAGTGTGCCAAAGCGTGCCGTAGCCGCCCTGGGGCTCCCAACTAGACCAGAGCAACCTCCTGGAAGAGCACACTCACGCGTGTGGAACTGAGGCTGGAGGGATTGCAGCGAGGCACGAGCAGGGGCTGGAGTCGGGTACAAAGAGAAGAGAGAGAGTCCCCTCCGACCTGGCACTGACCAGGAGTGGGGTAAAAAGAGGCTGGCCTTCCCGCTGCCGGGGTATTTCAAACCTCTGGCTGGGGAGGCATGGTTGAAGGTACTGGTTCACCCCATTGGCTGAATTAAGCCTACCTGGGTGGGGTCATAAGCCTAGGCCTCGTTTGGACCGCCCTGGCTCGGGGTCCTGAATTAGAGCATGCCTAGTTCGGGGGTGTTCATGGGTGGCTCGTGCTCGCCTGATTCCCTTCCTACCTTCTCCAGAATGGCCTGGACAGGCTTAGGAGGGACAGCCCCCTACCTCTAGCTACCTAACAATACAAGTATGCCAGCCAGGTTGAACAGTGAGGAAGGAAGGCCAGAAGAGAATGGGTGCATTTGGCGTTCTTCTCGGGGCAAAGAGTATAGCAGGTACCACGAACTGTCAGGGAAAGGGCCAGGTCTGTCTCGGAAGAAGCACAGCCAGAATGCTCCTTAAAAAGCACAGCGAGACTTCATCTGCTACGCTGAGGGCGTGTGGTGGGCCGGCACCGATCCCTGGAGAAGGACATGATGCTTGGGAAAGTGGAAGGTCAGGGAGAAAGAGGAAGACCTGGATGAGATGGATGGACACAGTGCCTGCAACAGCCTGCTGAAGCCTAAGAACAATTTGAGGATGGCGCAGGCCTGGGCCATGTTTCATTCGGTTAGACAGAAGGTTGCTATGGCCCCCACAACAGGACCTCCTGGGAAAAAAGACTGCATTTGTCGCCTGCCTCGCACTGTGCTTGCGTGACCACGTGTTGGCAGCAAATAGCATATAAACACGAGTGGGCTAGGGGACATTTAGGCAACGTCTTTAAATGCTAGATGCCTCTCTTTGCCCCTTGTTGCTGACTGGACAGGGGTGTGATGGCTGGAGCTACAGGAGCCCTCTTGGGTCAGGAAGAAACTTTAGAAATGGACACCCCATCAGCTGAACAACTGGACAGAAGCAAGCTGGGTCCCCGGTTCCCCGGAAGGACCTCCCAACCCTTGGCCTTCACGAATGTGGGAGAGAAGCAATTGTGTGGCTCCTGTTAGTATTATTTTAGATTTTTCTGTTACTTGTAAGGGGGCCAAAGCCTACTGAGAGCACATACCACGGGGATGCGCACATGAAGTCCAGAGAGTACAGTTTGTGTCTTTGCATACTGAAGTAGGCAGTACCCGGCAGACAGTAGTTAATCCCTTTAAGCCCCCCGGATTGCCTCCATCTGCCATTTCCTCTCATCCTTGCATCTCTGCGTTAGCTAGCCTGGCACCCATGCTGCACCCCACCCTGAGCCAGCCTTCTCTTTCCCAGGGAGCCTTTCCAAGCCTGCCAGCTTCCTGCAGCCCTGCTGAACCTCCATGATATCGGATGAACGTGTTACTTCCCATTGCGCGCGGATGACTCTCTTGTCCCCTTGGGGGAATGACTGCCCAGTTCTTCCCAGCAGGGGCTGACCCATTGGCCTATATGACCCTTCCCCCATGGGTGGGTGGCACCTGGCTGTCATTTAGAGCTGAGCACATGGGGGGGGGGCAGGAGGCAGCTCTTGCTTCTCGTCTTTCACTCTCCCCCAGGATGGCAAGCCCTCCGACACAGGAAGCCTGTCTATCCATCGCTGCTCAAGGAGGAGATTGTGAGGGAAATTAAAATGGTGGATTCTTCACCATCTGGTTGCCATTGCAAATGTTCCTTTCCCTGACTGTTCAACACCCAAAGCAGCTGGATGTTCACACATTTCTCTGTGGTAGGTGGGCCATCACGTATCCCAGTGGGGGGAGCTTAAGATGGGTTTCAGATCCTCCAAGCCGCAGAATTTGTAGCCGCCCCGCTCAAAGGTGCAGAGATAAAGGAGCAAGGAGAAGGAAGCGCCGATGAGGGGCTGTGAGGGGCTCTGCCTGGAAGTGGGGGTGGTGCTAGGTGATCCAGGGGAGCTTCTCTGATGGAGAGGAGGGGCTGGTGGATGGAACCCCACACTGGGACAGCTGGTCCTGTTAGTGAAGGAGACACGAGCCTCACACCTAGTGATGAAATTAGTGTGAACCCCAGGGACTTTGGTGGTGGTAGTGGGTAGCTACTGTTGGGTCAACCCTCCCTCCACCGCCACTCATGGTGACCCCATGC